CGGGACGGAGCGAACGGCGGCATGCCGGTACCTCCACTCCCCTCCTCTGAGGATCTCGTTTCATCGTGTGCTGGCAGCCGGCAAGGAGGTCTGGCGGCTTGGCATGAGGAGCTCCGTGCCTCCATCGTCGTCCTCGACGTGGGTGCTGTTCTCGACGGGACGCGCCGTGCGTCGAGAACGGTACCTAGAATGAGGACGTCGATGGAGGTGCAGACATTCTCACGCCAAATCGAACGACGGTGCCGGACCTCCTTGCCAGCTGCCAGCACACGACAAAACGGGATCAGGGGAGGAGGGGAGTGGAGGTGCTGGCGTGCTGCTGTTCGCTCGGTTCGCCGGTCACCGTGGCGGCTCGGTCGCCGTGGCGGCTCCGTCTCCCTCGTCGAGGAATAAACGGCAGAGCAACACCAAAGGGGCAGAATGGAATACATGACTTTACTTTTGTAGGTGGGCTGAACTCAGGGCTGGGTTGGATAGGCTGGGTGCAAGCATGACCCACACTCAAAATAATTAAGAAAATAACTATAATTAGTTTTGCTTTGAGATGCGTGCAATTTTTAAAGAAAGGAGTACCGGAGTAGATATCTAAATAATATACTACCTCAATTTCAAATTTCAAATAGTTTTAATTTTTTTAGATACACATAACACATATATCTATATGCGTATTAAAAGTTAAGTACCTAAAAAAGTCAAAATAACTTATAATTTAGAATAGAGAACTAAATACACTTTAGTATTCCTTTTGTTTTAAATTATAATTTATTGTACCTTTTCTGAAAAGGTTAGAATGATCTATAATTTAAGGTATGTTTGATACGTAGGCTAATTGCTAGCTAGCTAAACTTAGGTCTAGTGCACCAAACGGAAGAGCTAACAGGCGAGCTAATTGTTTAGTAAAAGTCTTCAACTAACTGTTAGCCAATCGTAACTAATTTGGATTAATTTTTTAGTCCCAACTAGTAACTAGATACGTGTATATCACTAGCTAGCTATCTGGTTATATGTATACGACAACAAAGGCTGCATGTAGGTGCTGGGCGTGTCTGGATGCAGAGCAAAATGCAGCAGCTACAGAAATACGCATGTTTATTCTCTGCATCGTGTGTTCAACTGTTCATGGCAGGTGGGGTGCGAGACATTATTTGTTTAGCAGGATTAGGTGCCTCGAGATCACGGAAGATGCGAATAATTCGCAATATGTATTTGTTCCATGTCGTCTTGTGCATACCTCTACCTGCCGTTTTTTTTTTCATGCGTGTGTACAGGAATTAATATTTATTACCCGCTGGATATCCAATCGCCATGTACATACATATCACTACAAATAAATAAAAATACTAGTATTCGTACCAGATATCCCTTCGCCCAAGTTTCAATTTTACTAAGAAGCATTTTGATCCGGTTTTGATGGCGGCTTATGTCGCATCCACACACTGAGAGGGCCGGCCACCGCGCGTGCAGTGTCCAATGCAGAAGCCCACTAACTAGCCGGTTTGCAACTAATCAAGTGACCAATGACTAGCCAAAGTGGAGACAACACTACTAGAGTGCTGTCGCACGATGCAATCAGTTAGTGCCAGGTGGTCGCTCCATTTAGCCAAGAGCGGCCATGAATTAAACGTAGTCCCTAACCTTCATCAGTGCCACCAGCACTATATAAGCAGCACCAGCCTTATAGGAGAGGGCAACAGCAAACTGATTTACAATAGCTAGTGGAGTAGAGATTAACGCAAGAGATAGAAGAACTCATCACCAATGAGGCCGCTCCTTGTGCTTGCTCTGCTTTTTGTGATCGCCGGTGTGGCGCATGGCGCCGGGGAGTGCGGGAGAGCCTCCGCTGACAGGGTGGCGCTAAGGCTGGCGCCATGCGTCTCGGCCGCCGACGACCCGCAGTCGACGCCCACGAGCAGCTGCTGCTCGGCCGTGCACGCCATCGGGCAGAGCCCCAGCTGCCTGTGCGCCGTCATGCTGTCCGGCACCGCCAGGGCTGCCGGGATCAAGCCGGAGGTCGCCATCACCATCCCCAAGCGCTGCAACATGGCCGATCGCCCCGTCGGCTACAAGTGCGGAGGTACGTGTATGTACATGCATATATATTTCAAAGAATATATATACATTTGTGCAGTTCGTTCTCACCTGAATCTGTTTGACTTTCACAGATTACACGCTGCCCTGACCACATCGTCAGCGAGACCGTGTGCGAGGGATTATGACAAAAGCTGATGAACGCGCCATGCAAGGCGTTGTGTTGGAAAAATCGAATCCGCTAGAATAAATAAGTACGTGGACGACGGGCTCTTGCTGTATCACTACTGGACTTTGCTTGTGTGTTGCACTTATGTCAAAAATAATAAATATGTTCCGTTTTCTAATATAAGAAAAATCTGCTAAGCTCATTTCACTGTACCGTGATACTACAAAAGGGCAGATTTGTTATCGCCAAAGATCCCCCCAGCGGCACACTATATCTGACGGGACTGACATTACAGCCAGCATAAATTTAGACATGAAAGAGATTATCGACCAACGTAATCTTTATCGACCGACGATAATGAACAGGGACAGCCATTTTTGCTTTCGCACGGAGATGAACTAATCAAGTCGACCATAATATCAAAACAAAGGTGACGGAAAGAAACTAGTCGCAAGAAAGGTCAACAAAGTTTCTGCTATTTTCAGCCGCTACTTTTTTCCATAGCACACTACAATAGTACAGGTTAATTTGACGTGGGCAAAAAGAGTTTTGAGATGCAGATGCGGGGACACCTGTCACATAGCATCTGTATAGATCCAGATTTACATTAAGTCGCAAAAAAAAAAGGTCAAAATTTACACATGTGGTCAACGCTCATCTCTACGACTGCGATTTGAAAAAAAAAGAGAGTTTTGGACCGGGATTAGAGTAGTTTAATATATTAGGGACCTAAATATGTAGTTCCATAATTTTGGTATTTGGGAGAGAATATTGTGATAGTTTAGAGACCGCCCATGTAATTATAAGTTATGGATCCATATGTTGATTTCACATTGAAACGCCACAAACAGCTAATAACCTGTGATGTGGCTACTTTGGACCGCAGTATAGCGACCTTTTTTAAGGGTCCGCAGGGGAGGCCCCTACTTAATTTTTATATATACGAAAGGGAATATTTACAATTTACAAGGCTTGTAAAGCCCAAACAGGAAAAAAAAAGTTGTCTGGGCTTTAGATATGCAATTTCACACTTCAAGGACCTGGATGATGACGTAATAGTATATATAGGGATCACTAGTGTAATTTACGCTTATATTATATGGATAAAAAAAATTGAATTCAACAAGGGGAGGGGCTACATCAGCAGCATTAGGTTGAATAATTTCACTTTGTTTGAGATATCAGGTAGTCAATCAATTACAGAGGGTCATTATGGACATTTCATATTTTTTATATTCTACTAGAAAACTAGAAGCCATTTTAACAAATGCTTTTCTAAAATGCTTTAGCTCTACCGGAGAAACTGCTTCTATAGAGAAGCCAGAGCCATTTTAAAGAAGCCTCCAATGCAGACCAAAATTGGCTATGATCTCCTCGGTTTTTAATATTCTTTTACAATAAATAGTTATCAATATGCTTAAATGTATATTCTATTGAGGTTAGCACTCTTGGTTCCTCATAGATCTCACACTAAACTGCACCGTCGATCTTGAGCACCGTAGTGTATACTTAAACGAAGGGGGAAGCTAGAATTTTGTGTCACCGAATCAGTGGAGTGACTACTGAAGTTGCAATGCTATTTTATTGATTATAAAAAAGAGGTTTATAAATGTTAATGAGGAGATTCTAGTTTTTTTAGGGAACATGAGGAGATTCTAGTGGGAATAAGAAAAGCTATTGGGCTTAGCTGACCACAGTACAATTATGTACTTTCTCCATTCCAAATTATAAGATATTTTGCGAACTGATCATAGATCAGGTGGTTCAGTTCCTTGTGGTGAAACCTACCCACCCAGGTTAAGTCCTCGACTTGGCACAGATGTTCGTATTTTCCTAGATTTATTCCAGGATTTAACGGCGCTACGCTTTCAATGGTAGACGACGTCCCCGTCGACAGTGCGACGCTTGTGGTGACTTCGTGAATCTCGAGATCTGCCGGCTCAGTCCTTCAGAGGTGCTCATAAGAGTAGGTTTACGTACGTGTGTTCATAGGGGTGAGTGTGCGTGCGTATTGGACGTCTACGTTGTACTGTGTAATTTAAAAAAAAAAGATGTTTTGACTTTTCTATATATATAATTTTGGCCGTACACTTAGATATGCACTAAGCAATATATTTAGAAATGTCAAAATATGTTATAATTTGGAACAGAGTGAGTTTATGCCAGGGTAGCAATATATAAGAGTGCAGCCTGCATACAAAAATCATCATTTTTTTTAATAGCGCACAAATGATAAGACTATTTTTTTCGTAGGCTTTGGTCAAAGAATATTTTTATTTAAGATAAAAGTAAAATAATATAAACTTTTAGAACCAGTAGAGTATGACAAGTGGTGCTCTTTTAATTATTATTATATGAAAATGTTCTTTTCCATGAAGCACACATAACATAACAAATAGTACCGATCAATCTGTCTTCACTTGACAAGAAATATTCTCTTTTCCAAACAGGTTACAGATCCACATCATTAAGGTATGACATAGTTGCAGAAACACCACTGCACATATGTTGAAGTATGTGAAACTGAAAGTTGAAGGGCTCAAGGGGGGCGACTGTGTTTTGCTAGTCAACGGCTAAGTTGATATATCAGAGATCCAACTCAGCTCACGGATCTGGCCAGGCAAGACTTGCTTTGCAATGTCCCAAACTCCCAGTTGACTATGTTCATGCCTAGCTGATATCCCCATGTTCCCATCTCTAGGTGCGCGGAGGTTGCACAATTCCTCCGAGCATTAGCATCACTAATCACTAGCTGCTACCACCGAGACAAATACACTGGAGTATCTAGGAGAGAGGGGAAGCAATGGCGGACCTGGCAGTAAACTTGGCCAAGTCGGTGGTGGAGGGGGCTGTGACCAAGGCCCTGGCGGCGATTGAGGAGGAGGCAACGCTGCGGCAGAGCACGCAGAACGACCTGGCGTTCATCACCGGTGAGTTCCAGATGATGCAGTCCTTCCTCAATGTCGCAGATGAGGAGCGCGCCAGGAACAACGTGGTGAGGACCTGGGTGAGACAGGTCCGTGACCTCGCCTACAACGTGGAGGACTGCATCGAGTATGTGATCCACCTTGACAAGGCGTCAGACTGGCACTGCCGCTGCCTCCCAGGCTTCATCAGGCCAGAGCTGCCGCTGGACAAGGCGGTCGCCAAGATAAAGCTGCTCAAGGGCAGGGTTGAGGAGGTGAGCCTTAGGAACATGCGCTACAACCTCATCAGTGATTCAGGTTCCAAGCCCGTCACGCAGCAACAGTTTGTGCCTGGTGCTTCTGTCGGTGCCACAACATTTGACATGCTCGTCAAAGCAAGAGATACCACAAAGATGCAACGAGGATTAGGAGATCTGACCAAAAGTTGTTGATCACCAAGAAACCTGGTGGAGACCTTGGAGTGATCTCAGTGTGGGCAGCAGGTGGCAATGCTGATACCACACCCATAATCAGGGAGGCTTATGGCAAACCAGAAATATGTGACAGCTTCAGATGCCGTGGCTGGGCAAAGCTGACGCACCCTTTCAATCCCCATGAGTTCCAGCGGAGCTTGCTGATTCAGTTCCACACAAACTCTTGCCTACAAAAGAAATCGGGTGTAGACATTGGTACCCTCAAGAAATTGGAAGTGGCTGCAGAAGGCGAACTTATTGAAGAGTTCATGGAGCAAATGAAGGAGAGGTACCTGGTTATCCTGGAAAACGTTTCCAGTATGGTAGAGTGGGACACCGTCAGAGCTTACCTGCCTGAAAAGAAAAATCACAGCTGGGTCATCATCTCTACTCAGCAATCTGAAGTCGCCAGGCTGTGTGTTGGAGATCCATGGCAAGTGTTTGAGCTTAAGCAGTCCTCAGCCGAACACTCTGTATGTGTCTTCTTCAGGGAGGTAAGCAGCTGAAACACAATCGAATAAATTTCCGGAAAATATGGCCTTAATCTCTTTTGCTCTTGTAGTTTTGATCATTGCATATTCAAATCATATGCTAGAAAAATTAATTTCAAACTATTGATAGATATAGAAGTACTTTGATTAAAAATGTTCAGTAGCAGTTCTACTTATGTTGCTCATCACCAGTGAAACTGTGAAAGGCTGGCTGTGCAAACAAAACGAAGAAGTGCAGACAATGCTAGTCATTGGTATATTTATCATTAACAAAAGCTCCCCCGGCCCCTGCACACACACACAATGAGACTGATTCCCCATAGTCACCACATAGGGAATAACGGAAATAGGTTTAGGAGAAAGTAGTGGAATAAATTCTTATATTTGTTCAGTCAAATCAGCAAATCCCAACTCATAATGTAACACTTGGCACAGGATTCAGAAACTGTGCCATCCCTCCAATGTTTGTTGCCTGTTACATTAATTCCTCCTTCCAAATGCACACGTCCCCTTCTCTTGAGGTCTCCTTGACCACCCTTCTTAAATTTTCTATATTTTCAGGGTTCTCAAGGCGACGGAGATAAAAGCAAGCAAACCACTATGGTGATGGCTAACAATAATGAGGCATCATCATCAATGGGTGTCCAAAACAATACTGATATGTGGATTGGTCGATTCCCCCTAGTTAAAGTACGCAATTCACAGATGAAAGATCTCCGTGGCTATTTAGCCAGGGCATGTGTTAATGGTTTCCTTGTGATATCCGTGTGGGGGATAGCTGGTGTTGGGAAATCAGCTCTAGTCAGGAACTTATACTACGACATAATGTGTGACAGTAGCAACAAAATATTTACCATGTACAGTTGGGTGGATGTATCACTGTAGAATAACACCGCACACCCTAATCAGGGGGGTGGCCTTCATTATATAGCCTAATAGGCTAGGGTTACAATGTACACGGGCCAATGGGCCATACGCCCAATATGGGCTGTTATAATTACATTCTAACACCCTCCCTCAGTCTAAGCGGGAGTGTCACGAACACAAAGACTGGACCTAAAGTCAGTGAACAACTGTACAGGTAACCCTTTGGTCATAATGTCCGCGAACTGATGAGATGATGGAACATGGAGCACCCGAACCTGTCCCAAAGCAACCTTCTCACGAACGAAGTGAATATCTATCTCAATATGCTTCGTGCGACGATGATGAACTGGATTGGCGGTCATGTAGACAGCACTAACATTGTCGCAGTAGACGATCGTCGCCGAAGAGATGGGTGCGTGGAGCTCCTGAAGTAACTGACGAAGCCAACAAGTCTCAGCCACAGCGTGTGCAACAGCATGATACTTAGCCTCCACACTCGAACGAGAGACCGTAGTCTGTCGTTTAGAGGACCAAGAGACTAAATTGTCGCCGAGGAAGACACAGTACTCTGAAGTGGAGCGTCGAGAGTCGGGACAGCCAGCCCAATCAGCATCGGAGTAGGCAGTCAAGCTTGTGATGCTGCCTGTGCCGATGTGAAGCCCGGTGGACAGGGTGCCTTTGACATACCGCAGGACACGCTTGAGCATCGCAAGATGAGGCTCTCGCGGGTCGTGCATGAAGAGGCAAACCTGCTGAACTGCATAGGCAAGGTCCGGACGAGTTAGCGTGAGGTACTGTAGAGCACCGGCGAGGCTGCGGTACTGAGTGACATCCGCCACCGGAGCGCCGTCCATAGCTGAGAGCTTGGCCTGAGTGTCAACAGGAGTCGCCGTAGAGTGACACTCAGCCATGCCGGTGCGCTGGAGCAGGTCCACAGCGTACTGGCGCTGAGACAGGAAGAGGCCATCAGCAGAACGCGTGACAGAGATCACGAGGAAGTGATGAAGATCCCCGAGATCTGTCATGGCGAACTCGGAGTGAAGAAGCTCGGTGAGGCGTCGAAGAAGCGAGGTCGACGAGGCTGTCAGGACGATGTCGTCGACGTAAAGTAGCAAGTAGGCGATGTCAGATCCCACTGTGTAAACAAAGAGGGACGTATCGGAGGCCGAAGCTGTGAAGCCGGACCGCTGGATGAAGCCGGAGAAACTGGTGCGCATACTGGCGCCTGCTTGAGTCCGTACAAGGACTTTTGCAGGAGGCAAACATGGTCGGGAGCTGCCGGGTCGACGAAGCCAGGCGGCTGCTGACAGTAGACCGTCTCGTTCAAATGGCCGTGGAGGAAGGCGTTCTTCACGTCCAGCTGATGAATCGGCTAGGAACGAGAGGCGGCGATGCTGAGGACGACCCGGATGGTGGCCGGTTTGACAACCGGACTGAACGTCTCGTCGTAGTCGATGCCGTACTGCTGCGAGAACCCACGAACGACCCATCTGGCTTTATGACGAGCCAGAGAGCCATCAGCATGATACTTGTGCTTGAAGACCCACTTGCCGGTGATGACGTTGGCTCGAGGCGGTCGAGGAACGAGACGCCAGGTGCCATTGTCCATGAGCGCCTTGTATTCTTCAGCCATCGCCGCACGCCAATTCGCATCGGCGAGCGCGGCGCGAGAGTTGCCTGGCAATGGAGAAGCCAGACTGGAGGCCGCTGCGGTGAAGCCGTACCGCTGCATGGGCGGCGGCAGGGAACCCGTCTGGGAACGAGTCACCCGCGCAGGGAGGCTCTGCGGTCTTTGGAACCTTTAGGCGACCGCACCGCTGCGGTGGGGCGAAGCTCGGGCAAGCACTGCCTGCTGCAGTGGGGCCGAAGGTGCCGCCGGCGACGGAGGCTGTGGAGCCAGCGACGGAGCTGAACGACGACTGTAGTGGATGCCGAACCGCTGCCGGGCAGGGGCAGGGGCGACAACACCTACTGGCAGAGGAGGTGCTGGAGCCGCGGCCTGCCGAGGAGACGAGGGCAGCCGGTGAGCAGCGCCATGCTGCAGGATGGCGGTCGAGTCCGACAGATCGCGCCGGCATCGCCGGGCGTCGCCCGAGCTGCGACGAGGCAAAGGCGGCACCGAGGTCCGCAAAGTGCCGAACGTCCCCGAGGTAGGCAGACGGGCAAAGCGGGAAGTAAGTCTGTAACAAAAATCAAGAGAATCCGGTCGAGGCTTGGAGGCCGCAAACGGAAAGTGAGTCTCATAAAAAACGACGTGTCGCAAGATGATGATCTTGCGAGTGGAGAGGTCAAGACACCGGTAGCCCTTCTGTGATGGAGGGTAACCGAGGAAGACACATGCTTGCCGGGAGCGAGGAGACAATTTGTGGCGAGTCGTGGCACTAAGGTTGGGGTAGCATAGGCGAGCCAAAACCACGAGGATGGAGTAGTCTGGCATCTTGTGGTGGAGGAGATGATATGGTATACCGTTATTTTTGGACGAGGATGGCCGCCGGTTCGTGAGGAACACAGCGGTGGAGAGAGCTTCGATCCAATAGGATGGAGGCATGGCGGCATGAATCAGAAGCGTGCGAACACCATTGTTCAGAGTCCGGAGCATGCGCTCAGCCTTGCCATTCTGAGCGGATGTGTAGGGGCACGAGGTGCGAAGGAGAATGCCGCGGCCAGCCAAGAAGGTGGCGGTGGCATTGTTGAGGAACTCGGTGCCATTATCTGCCTGAAAACAGCGGACAACAAAACTGAACTGTGTGTGAGCGTAAGCAACAAATTGAACAATGTGTTCATGAACTTCAGATTTATGACGAAGAGGGAACGCCCAGCAATAATGTGTATAATCATCAACTAACACAAGATAAAATTTATAACCAGAAATACTCGCAACTGGAGAGGTCCAAACATCACAATGAACAAGTTCAAAAGGTGCTGATGTACTAGAGACCGAACTAGCAAAAGGCAGCCTAGCATGTTTACCGAGCTGGCAAGCATGACAAATGCGGCGAGCTGCTTTATTACACTGGATAGCTGATAGCTTATTTAGAGTAGCGACGACAGCAGGGGCAGGATGACCAAGGCGGGAGTGCCACAGCTCCGGGGAGACGACAGCGACGTGACAGCGAGGTGGCATGCGATGTGGAATGGTGTAGAGGTCCCCATGGCTATTGCACCGAAGGAGGACTGTCTTGGTCTTGAGATCCTTAACAGAAAAACCAGAGGCGTCAAACTCAATTGAACAATTATTGTCGCGAGTAAGCTGTCGAACAGATAACAGGTTACGGGTGAGTTGCGGAGCGACAAGAACATTATCAAGATGAAAGGAACGATCAGCTATTTGTAAGGAAGATGTGCCACGACTAAAGACAGGAATAGATTGCCCGTTACCAACCGTAATGGAGGACGGTAGTGACGGGAGACGGGAAAGAAGTATACCGTCGTTGGAGGACATGTGGGATGTCGCTCCGCTGTCCATGACCCAGGGGGAAGACCCCTGAACCGCCATCTGATTGAGGGCGGCAATCAGGCTGGTCGCGTCCCAGGAGCCGTACCCGTACCCTGGCGACGCGGTGGAGTACTGGGCCGGCGCGAAGGCAGTGTGCGCCTGCGGAGGGGGCGGCGGCGGTGGAGGAGGCGCGGATGGCGCGCCCCACTGCTGCTGCTGAGGAGGCCACTGCTGGACGGCCCAAGGGTTATAGCAGACCCAAGGACCGGCCAGCTGAGGAGCCTGACGTCCGCCTGGAGCGCCCTGGTGGGCGCCATGCTGCTGGTTGCGCCCGCCGCCTCCGTTGTTGCCGTTGCCGCCACGCCCTCCTTTGCCCTTGCCCCCCTTTCCCTTGCCACCACCACCCTAATCGGGGGGGTGGCCTTCATTATATAGCCTAATAGGCTAGGGTTACAATGTACACGGGCCAATGGGCCATACGCCCAATATGGGCTGTTATAATTACATTCTAACAATCACATCCATTCAATTTAAGGAACTTGGCTTGGAGCTTACTTTCAGAACTTCAGTCAGATTCTCCTCAGCAAAATGGAATCAGCAATCCCATTCAAGAGTTTCATGAGCTTCTGGAGAAACATCGCTGCCTTGTCGTAATAGATGGTTTGCAATCCACAGACGAGTGGGACCTAATACGACATTACTTGGTGTCTATACATTCTAGAAGCATTATCGTTGTGATTACAACTGAAGCAAGCATAGCCATACATTGTGCAAATCGAGAAGAGGCCATGTACAATGTCAAAAGTCTAGAAGACGATGAAGCACGTGATCTCTTCAAAAAGGAGGTGTGTTTTCTTGCAAGATACTTGCCTATTCTCTTGGTCTCATTAAATCTAATTTCTCAGATACATCTTGATGCTCAAATGCAACAATTAGTCTATAATTTATCTTTTTCCCCCTCTAGGTGATTAAACTATGTTTTGCAAAAGAAGAAAAATGGTGTGAGTATATATTTTTTTTTGCATCAAAGTAGTTTTATCCAAGCTTTTTTTCAGTTGCTATGCTCATCCCATCTTAAAAGACACAGAATCATCCTATCCAAGTCTTCTATAGTATGCCTAACAAAACTCATCCAAATGGTATCATAAAAGTTCAGAACAATTCTTTCCTAGGACCAGGAATACAAAAAATTTTCTATTAAAGAATTATATGTTTAGTAGTATTGATTTCATAAACAATAGACCATATTACAAGCATACTGGCAATATAGATATGTCATAATATTTCAACAAAAATTGTATCTTTTTTCTAAGTAAAAAGTTAAATTCAAACAACAAGCGCACCCCACAATCTGTAAGATAAACAAACAGAGCCTGATGCACATGTAATTTTTCCAACTTTTCAAAACATGAGTTTATGCATGCTAACAGAACAAACTAAAACTAAATCTAAAGTGTGATTGATTGATATAATAATTATTACTAATTTAGCTTCTTTTCAATAATATAAAAAAAAAACTTGACAGGGAGGAGCAGACCGCACCCCTGCTTTTTAATTAAGAGGATGCAGAGCTCGAACCTGGGTCTCTGGACTGAGAGCGAGCCCCAGTAACCAGTCGCCCATGAGAGCACCTGCTCTTTTCAATAATATAGGTAGGCATATTTCCAGATTTGTCCGCTTTAAGGGATTCTGAAGATCCCGAGTTTCTAAAACTTATTTCCAAGTGTGGCGGACTTCCCAAAGTAATAGTTGCTGTAGCCAACTTTTTGGCACCCATGACAGTCAGCTGGATGAAAACCGCAATGAATCTTAGTGACAGATTTATGCATGATCTGGAGACTAAACCGGAATTTGATAACTTGCGTGGATTATTTGGTTGGATGCACAACTACTTCCGTACTTGCCCAGATTACCTCAAGCCATGTATCCTCTACCTGTCCATTTTTCCGCAAGGCCAAAGCATTCGATGGAGGCGTCTAGTGAGGCGGTGGATCGCAGAGGGTTACTCGAGGGACATGTCCAACAGGTCAGCTGAGGATAATGGGGAAAAATTCTTCTCGATGCTCCTTGATCTGAGTATCATCCAGCAGACACCACATTCAGTCACCACTGCAGATACAAGAATGGTCTTGTGCCAAGTCAACGGCTTCTTCCGTGAGTACATCATATCAAGGCGAAAGGATGAGGACCTTGTCTTCGAACTGGAGGGCAGGTGCACATTGACCAGTCAACGCACAGGACGACACCTTGTCATAAAGCAAAGCTGGGACAGAGACAAGATCGTGTTCAGTAGTATTGACTTCTCAAGGCTACGCTCCCTCACTGTGTTTGGACAGTGGAAGCCCTTCTTCATCAGTGAAACTATGAGGGTGCTCCGGGTGCTTGATCTCGAAAATGCAACGGGTGTCACATATAAATGCCTGGAGCAGATGCTGAAGGTGCTTCCTCGCCTCAAGTTCCTCTCTCTGAGAGGAATAAGAGAGATCTGTTCTCTGCCACGTTCAATTGCTGGTCTGAGGCAGCTTGAAACTCTGGATGTCAGGGGCACCTCCATAGTCACTTTGCCACCATCCATCACCAAGCTTACCAAGCTGCAGTACATCCGTGCTGGCATAGCTAAGGAACCATCAGTATCATGTGCTCATTTCTCTTGGTTGCCTAGCTGCTGTAGATCTTGTCATGTAGGTGGTGTTGAAGTGCCTGCAGGGATTAAGAAACTTACAGCCTTGCACACTCTTGGTGCTGTCAACGTTGGTTTTTCAGGGGGCAAGGCCATCCTGAAAGAGCTCAAGAAGCTCACCCAATTGCACAAGCTTGAAGTGACAGGCATCAACAAGAAAAATAGCAAGGAGTTCTGTTCCGTCATCTCAGACCACGTTCATTTGGAATCCTTGTCAGTGTGGCTCATCATGGGCAATAACAAACCTTGTTTGAATGGCATGTTCTCGCCTCAGAAGAAGCCTCCGGAAAATCTTCAGAGCCTTAAGCTATATGGCCTTGTAAAAGAAGTGCCAGTATGGATCAGAGATCTTCCCAAACTAACAAAGTTGGAACTGGAGATAACTATGTCAGAAGAAGTTGAAGTAATCAAAGTTCTTGGGGACATAAAAGAACTATGTATTCTACGTTTTTATGTCAAGCCTCTTAAAGATGGAGATGGTAATAAGCTTAACTTTTTTGTCGAGGTGAATGGAGTAGAGCAGAGCAGTTATTTGAACCTCAAGATACTTGAAATTGCTTGCAACTCAGAGTTAAATGTATCCTTTGGATCATTAGCAATGCAAAATCTTGAGCTGCTGACAGCTAAATGCTGTACTGGGTCGGCAGTGAAGTTTGCTGACCTGAAGAGTCTCTCTAAAGGAAAACTCAAGGAGGTGTGGTATTTTGGTTCCCTTGACAACACAGTTAAGTTGGACATGGAGAATCAACTTAACCAGCATCCTAAGACTCCTGCTTTGAAACTGGAGGAACCATGTTCGTCCTGATGCATACTGACAATCTGTCTGTTGTTTGCTGATTCTGGCACCAGAGCACAGGGCTAAATGACTGGTGGTTTTCATTTATACCTTCCCTCTTCCTTTTCCTACACTCTAGGGATTTTGAACTAAAATATTTGCGTCCATGGCACCGTAAAGATAATTGTTGTTTCTTCGATGTCAAAATCTACATGGAGACAATTGAGTGAACATATATAGCTAAAATGCTAATTTGACTCGAATTTGTTTACTCTGTACGGCAAATGTTATATGCACCTGTGGTATATAATGAACCTGTGCATTGACATCGTAATTCAATTATCTTATTTTCATTTTTGTGCTTGTTTTCCCCTGATTTCTTGGGTGATGTTGTGTAGATGTTGTCTCTCAGTCTCGTATTATTGGGTCATGTAACTTCCAGGTCTCATGGAGTCGATCTGTCGATGTGCCTAACGTTTTGACCAGTTGTAGGAACCGATCTTTCTCCATTAGAGTACACGATCTCCTGTGCTAGGTGCTATGCACATCTGATTGTTCTAGTCCATCAAAACGTGCTCCTGAACGGGCAAGTAATCCTAAGTGACACGGATAAATGTGATGCACATAGCTAACTAAAACTGCATATCTTTGTTTTTCTACATTTGTTCTTATTTTAATATTTACTCATCTTTGTCTGGTTGTAATAGAGTTTAGTACCAACTAAATATATGCTTTCCTATGCCCATTCATAGTTTTTCACGTTTCTATCACCATCCATGCGTGTTTGACATATGTTTAGTTCAAACTTTACGTTACATCCATTGCTTCATACATACAAGTATACATGGTCAGTATGGTGTGACACAGATCATACATGTATGTATTGAGTTAGTTTTTTTTTCTATATTAATAATGGCCAAAGATGGTAAGTAGAAAACAATTCCTTGGGGACATTTTCTTTATAATGATGAGGCAGGCATTTAGATTACATATGTCTTCAATTTATTTTTACTAATGGTGGAAGCCAGTGACTTATACGAGAACTTAGAAGACTACTATAGATTATTTTTCATAATTGTATATGTTAGAGATGAACATTAGGGGTACTTTACATTATTTTTGAATGGTAACGGTGGGTCATTTAGATATGGATTAGGTTTACTTTGCACTTTTCATAATGGCAGAGTTGGGTAATTTTTAATGGCATAGTTTTGTAGTTTAGGTGGAGGTTAGGGGCCACTTTAGATTATTTCTCACAATGACAGAGGTAGGTATAGTTTTAAGAAAAAAACATGATGAAACCAAATAGCAGGGGCAGACGCAGAGCTTAGTCATAGGGGGTCTCATTTCTTTTGCATACAACATCGTCCCTTATTGAGTTATTTCCTTCTTCCTTCTCATCCTCTGCTAGCTCAAAGGTGCTCATGCATAGGAGTAGTGCCAGAGCAAACCCACCCCCATGTCCTTCACTGCTAATGGGTATCATTGCTAAATAAGGCTTGTGAGGATCAGTATGGAGGCTAGAAAGGGTCCTCTAATTAGTAATAGTTCTAGGAAGTCTTGTGAGGATCAGTATGGAAAGGAGCCCCTAATTATTAATAGTAAGATTGCAACAAAAATCCAATAACCTAAACGGGACATCTTCAAAATGATTGTATGCTCATATTTTGAACCATTTGTTTAGAAATTAGAACAAGTCATAATTACCATATCGACCGATGCCCAAAATCTTATGCCCATGACAAAAATCTGAATTTTAACTTGCACTATATATGAAATCAGTTCCGGCAGAGGTAAAAGTCTCTATTCTTTGGTCCTAGAAGTCTTGGGTTTCAACCAATCTGTTAGTAAATTTTAATTTCCAAGGACAAGGCTATCTAGAATCGAGAAATTCCCATCTTTAGACCTCATCTTACGCTGGAACTTTTTAGCACTGGCCCATTAAACTGCAACCATTGTGGCTCAGAGAAGCAATAAGCAAGGTTGCAAGTTAAGCATCAACAGGTAAACTAGATCTAGAATAAACAACAGACCCTCTTATCCACGAAGCACGAAACAGAGGAACAGCTTTGAATCCGCAAATCCCATCTTCTGTACCTTCCCCTGCTTGCTTTGTAAAAAGAAAAAAGAATTTATTGTACCTTGGGCCACAAGGACGGATTGGGGCAACACGCAACAGGAAGAAGCTCAAGCTGCTAGTCTGCTACCGGTTCGACGTCGATGGAGCGGACAGGGGCTGCAGTGTCGTGGCTTACTGTGGTCGGCGGCGGTGGGGATTTCGTGGAGTAGCGAGAGCGGAATCTGGGGACCGGGTGTTGAGCACCGTTGGCGGACGCTGGGACTGGAATTGGGGAACGCTGACCGGCGGCGGGCCCTGTATTGCCTGGCCTGGGCAACAACTCCAGCAACGCTGGAAGCGCTTGAGCTAAGCAATTTCTCAAAGCAAACAACAGCCCGTTGAGGCTCGTGGTGGATGGAACTCCAGAAGAACTCTAGTCAACTAGAATGCGGAAGGACTTGCAGAGCACAAATGTTTCGTTCTTTTTCGAGGCAAATGAGAAACAGAATTCCATCGCATTTGTACCCTAAACTTACAGCCTATTTTGATTCCAATTTTTATGACAAAAATCTTTATTACGAATAAGATTATAACATTATTAGGCCGTTTCGACGATTGGAGTCCCAAACATGTAATTTTCTCCCTTAACTATAGAGGTGGACTATTATTAGTTGAAGTATAAATGTTTTATAATTTTTTTTAAAAAAAGGCTTTGGAGACAGATTGATGATTATTGTAATCCGGTGGTTCAATTTTTATAATCCAACCCATAACCTGCAGTGTTTTAACCATCTTCAGATTTTTTTTATTTGATTACTGTAATACAATTGGCATCCAAACAACCTCTTAATTTGTTCATGTATTTAGTAAAAAAAAAACCATTTGAAGTGACACAAATGCACGTTTGTAAAATCAGAAAATCCATTCAATCACCATACTAGACAATTGTACTGTGACTTGCCACGTAGGTATCAGCCAAAACATCCTGATATATGTGTACTATTACTAATGTACGCCTCACAAGATGATTCTACTGCCTCCTGACTGTATATGTACTACGTAACTCAAGAATATTTTCACAAGACAGAGGTCACGGCAAACCACGTTCTTTCAGGTTCGATTGAAACTTTACTGTAAACTTAAATTCTTCATATATTCATTAAGGGCATGTTTGGAACAAAGAAATACAAAATAGAGGAATTGTCATATGGGGCCACGTCTACACAAGGAAACAGTGCGCCCGGGACGCTCGCAAAGCCGCAGACGACGCGCCAGTGGCACCATAGGCGCGGTCACCGCACTCTGCATGTGCACGCGGAAGAAGGCAAGTGCCTGGAAGGCAGTAGAGCCGATCATGGCCTTAGATTGAGGAGCAATTGGCTGCAAGTTGTTACGCCCGAATGGCCTATATAATCTTGTACTCGGTATGGTGATAATCAAGCAAGAACAATTACCCAATTCCCTAATCTTCATCTGCTGAAACAACTGAGCGCTGAGGGGTAAAACCTCGCCCCTAACCACGGAACGCGGCTACGATCTATGTAGCCTGGGTCCTCCTACCCTATCCCTCGACGCCCTTAACAACCTGGTATCACGTTCCAGGTCTTCCTCATCTCGCCGATCAACTTCATCCTCGCCGTCGTCGCGTTCCACCTCTGCACCGCCCACTCCGCAAAGCACCGCCGCCATGGGAGAACCAGTGCCAAGGAGGCCGCCCTCCAGGCCACCCTGGACTCCCTAGCCGCCACCCTCTAGTCACTGCAGGCCTTCGTCGATGCCAATTCCCAGGCGATTCAACGCCTGGACGCGAACCGGCCGTCGTCGTCTGGCTTGGGCACCAGGCCTAGCTCCGGGGAGCACCACCATGACCGCCCACCGCGTTTCTAGAAGATGGATTTCCTGCGCTACGATAGCAAGTCCGATCCCTTGATTTTCCTCAACCACTGTGAATCGTACTTCTATCAGCAGTGTATCATGGAGGAGGAGAAGGTTTGGATGTCCTCGTACAACTTGGAGGATGGGGCACAAATGTGGTACATCCAAGTCCAGCAGGATGAGGGTATCCTATCATGGCGCCGTTCTAAGGATCTGCTACACCTCCGCTATGGCCCCCTCTTTGCTCCAATCCACTCGGCGAGTTAGAGGCGTGCAAACGCACGGGCTTCGTGGAGGAGTACCAGGACTGCTTCCAAGTGCTCCTTCCGCGTGCGGGGCGTCTGGACGAGGAGTAGTGGGTCTAGCTCTTCACCGCCGGCCTCCAACCGCCGCTCATCTTCGACGTCGAGGTGCACAATCCCTAGTCCCTCGCCACGACCATGAGTTTGGCACGCAAGCTCAAGCTGCGGGATTAGTACATGGCGCTTCCACCCCGGGCGACGCCGCGCGCCCTTCTTCCAGCACCCGCGCCTTGCCTCGCCCTACCGGCGCCGCCAACGGCGACTCCGACCACGTCCACCCTAGCCACGATCACCGTGGAAGGCCGGCCGGTCAAGCACCTCACCCAGGCTGAGTAGGAGGAACGTTGCCGCCTCGAACTTTGTTACAACTATAACGAAAAGTTTAGCGGCGGCCATAACAAGGTCTATCAATGCCTCTTCCTACTAGACAGTGCCGTGGAGGGCGAGGTCTCTACTGAGACGTCGGAGGAGGGCGCAATAGAGGAGGTCATCCAACACTTCTCCCTCCACGCCATCGCCGGAGTCCGCATCCACGAAACAATGCAGATCCACCTCAAGCTCGGCGACACCTCCCTCGTCGCGCTACTTGATTCAGGGTCCACGCACAACTTCATCTCTGAGGTGGCAGCGCAGCGGACGGGGCTTCCCCTGCAACACCACCCCCGCATGATGGCCACAGTGGCGAACGGCGAGCGCGTCTCCTGCCTGAGCGTCATTCGCCACGCCGCGTTCATCGTCAATGGCGACGACTTCCTCGCCAACCTCTACGTCCTTCGCCTCGCTAGGTATGAAGT